TTAGCTGATTTACAATTTAAACCGTTTCTCGTGATTCTTCCCACGCTGAGGGCCCCAGGAAGCAATGGAGTTTCCCCACAGCAGACCCATCGCGGCGCCTTGCCTCCTTCCACCCCGAGGACTCCACTCTACACTAGACACCCCTCAGAATATCCTTTTTAAGTTTATCTTAACGTGTGCTTCACAGGCTGTGGCTTAGAAAGTGGTCCTGGGGAGCACCAGAACCCCAAATTAAAGACTCAGTTTCTACCAGCATTTCTCAGACAAATGAGTACCTGAGGTATTTGTTAAATGTGAGATTCTTGAGCCCACTGCCAAGGACCGCACTGCAGACCTCGCGGGTACGCTACAGCCCCCATGCTAAACACCCAAATGACTGTGACGACGGTGTACACACTGCCTCTTCCCAGGCTGCACAGCCAACCTCGGCTCTGCCACGCAGGGTCTTTCTAAGTCACTCAGGCAACTTACTTTTTAAGTCAAGAGGTGAGGTTTAAGATGCAGCGCTGCTCATGCCAAATAGCCGTCCTTGAGAAATGAGCGGCTCCCCAAAAAGTGGACTTAAATTTTTGCCTTATTTATAATACGGAATTATGAGCAATAAAAATGGTCTATGGGCTGCTTATGTCCCAGAGACCATGCTTTCTGCTTTACAGACCATATTTCAATTAATCTTACAAAAGCCCAGCAAGAAACCTGTTCTTTGCATTTTACAAAAGACCCGGAGGCAGCATCACTAGGAGGAAGTGCTGACAGACATCAGGCCCACCCGACTTTCAGCTACCACTCTGACCCCACAGCAGTCTGCCTCTAACCCTCCCACTGTAAGAGGAGAGGCCATAGTTTATTTACTTTTAAGGTAAAGTATGTCCTGATTTGCACAGAGTAAGTTCACTGAACTACCCCTCCCTCCCACACTAACCAAACACAAAGGGCAGGATGTCTTGGCCTGTGGGGGTGGCTCCAAGGCCAGGGCACCCATCCTCACGGCAGGACTCAGCCTGTTTAATCGTAATCATGGGTGCACCAAACATCTATCAGAAAAGCCTGTTTCCCTAGTGAGTGAAAGGCCATCACACCTACGACTGTCAGTGCTGGACGTTTTTAAACTACTCGAGTAACTTAAAGCAGGGAGGGAAGCCTCCAGAAACACCGTCCCGTAACCCTATCTGCCCCTCTCGGCGCCCAACCCTTCCTATTTACAGGGTTGTGTTTCTCAGCACAGCCAGGCAGCAAACTCCTCCCACAGCAGCCAAGTGTGCCCGGTTCAGAACGTGCAGGCCCGCAAGAGGACGCAGGAGCCCACTGCTGAGGACATGACGTGCTTCAAAGGGGCTCCAGGCTGCACCTACGTTCTTTACATGAGATACGTGGATTCGCTGGTCCACTCAGGAGCTACAATGTAACAAGACACTCGCTTCCTTCATGCCCGTAGCCGTAACATTACTCAGAAAACCCGGCCCGGCCCGGCGTGGCTCAGCGGTTGAGCATCCACCTGNGAGAGGCCATAGTTTATTTACTTTTAAGGTAAAGTATGTCCTGATTTGCACAGAGTAAGTTCACTGAACTACCCCTCCCTCCCACACTAACCAAACACAAAGGGCAGGATGTCTTGGCCTGTGGGGGTGGCTCCAAGGCCAGGGCACCCATCCTCACGGCAGGACTCAGCCTGTTTAATCGTAATCATGGGTGCACCAAACATCTATCAGAAAAGCCTGTTTCCCTAGTGAGTGAAAGGCCATCACACCTACGACTGTCAGTGCTGGACGTTTTTAAACTACTCGAGTAACTTAAAGCAGGGAGGGAAGCCTCCAGAAACACCGTCCCGTAACCCTATCTGCCCCTCTCGGCGCCCAACCCTTCCTATTTACAGGGTTGTGTTTCTCAGCACAGCCAGGCAGCAAACTCCTCCCACAGCAGCCAAGTGTGCCCGGTTCAGAACGTGCAGGCCCGCAAGAGGACGCAGGAGCCCACTGCTGAGGACATGACGTGCTTCAAAGGGGCTCCAGGCTGCACCTACGTTCTTTACATGAGATACGTGGATTCGCTGGTCCACTCAGGAGCTACAATGTAACAAGACACTCGCTTCCTTCATGCCCGTAGCCGTAACATTACTCAGAAAACCCGGCCCGGCCCGGCGTGGCTCAGCGGTTGAGCATCCACCTGGGATCCAGGCAACCGGGGTTCAATTCCCAGTCAGGGCACATGCCCGGGTTGCGGGCTCGATCAATGACTCTCTCATCATTGATGTTTCTGTCTCTCTCTCCCTCTCCTGCTCTCTCTCTGAAATCAATAAAGATGTATTTTTAAAAAATTAAAATTTAAAAAATTTAAAAAAGAAAAAAGAAAACCTGACCCAAAAAACCCAAAAAGCTGCCACTGAGACTAAAATTAAGTGATAGTGGGGATGGAGAGGAAGGGAGGAGACCCAGCTGCAGTCTAGAAATGTGCCTGTTCCTGGATGGGATGAGCATCACCTCATTCCCTGGGTTCCCTAAGGAGGCCCAGACTCAAAGCACTAGAAGTACTAGGCAGCTCAAGCCTCAGCTCCCCAGTTTCACAGGAGCCCCGTTATGTAATACACGTAACGCAGCTGCCAGGTGCAGTCCTGGGATGTGCGCTCCTGTCTGGTCCTGTTCCCCTGAAGCTGGGCTGGCCTGTGACGTGCTGTAACCAACAGAATGTGGCAGAAAGGACGCCGTGCTGGTTCGAAGCCTATGGTTAAGGAGCCGGCTGCTTCTGCGTTTGCACTCTCGTGAGCCCTTAGCAACCACGTGAGGCCAGCAATCTTCCTGGAAAGGCCACCAGGAGAGCAAGGGGCCCTGAGACAAGACTACATGGTACACACCCTGGCCAGGTGGGTCAGCTGGTTCGGCATCGTCCTGGGTGCCAAAGGCTGTTGGTTTGTTCCTAGTCAGGGCACATGGGGCTCGATCCCTGCTGAGGGGCATGCAGGCAGCAGCTGATGGGTGTTTCACTCTCACACTGATGTTTCTCTCTCTTCCCCTCTCCCTTCCTCTCTAAAAATCAATAAAAAAATGTTTTTTAAAAAAAGACTATATGATATAAGACGCAGAAGAAGAGAAAGAAAGAGGGAGAGACAGAGAGACCATCACCCAGTGAGCTGCCAGCTGAATGTGGCCACTAGAGTGACCACCAGCAAAACGGGCACAACAGCTGAACAAGCCCAGCTGGGCAACCTGGGAAAGCAAAGCCGTGAGCAGGAAAAGGGGGGAAAGCTTGTCTTCAGTCCCTTATTCTTAGGGCTGCCTGTCACCCAGCAGCAGGTACCCGACACAACGCTCCCCTGGTTCCGTTTCTGCATAATCTGCCCGAGAGCCAGAGAAAAGGAGAGTTTACAGCAGCCTCCCTCACTGTGCTCCACAGGTGCTCACAGACTGAGGACAGACCCTCCGCCAGCAAAAGACGTCGACTCGCTTCACTGCGGTGCCTGGAACCAAACCCCCCGTATCTCCAAGCTGTGCCTGTCACTACAATCCCAAACAGTCACCCAATCCCAGAAGACCAAGTCTGTGCCCTTCTGGATAGTGACCCTACTAAACCTGAGTCCCAGGAGGCCAGGCTTTCTGGGTGTCACCGTAGGACCTCGCAGTGTCCGGCCTGCAGTGGGTGCTCCAGCATGTGCTGGGAACCAGCAAGAGGTTTCAGGAGTGAGGAAACAAATGCTAGTCTTCCTTACAAATCAGGAACTACCTGACACAGGGTTTTACATACACTAACAGATTTTAATGGCCAATCTTTTTTTTTTTTTTTTAATGATTAAACTTTTTATGTAATGGTAAAAATCATGAAATATCACGATATAGACTTTTGGAAATCAGATCTGGGTTTGCCCCAAAAATACAAATTTTCAGGCTTCTATAAAAGAACAAACCTCACCTGTAAAAGAAACTGAATTAATATCCACAAGTTTTGAAAAGGAAACTAATTCCTACATTTCACCAATACAGTATATTTTTCCAGAGAAATCAACTTTTGCTTTTACCTTGACAGGAAGATACCATTTTGTGATAAATTCTTATGAATTTCAAATTTATCTACCAAAAGCCAGGGCAGTGAGATCACCATTGTACCACAGAGGAGACAGGCCCAGACCCACCCAGTAGGAAAGCGTAGCAGGTTCCACACAGGTAACTTCAGACCCTCACCCACAGCCCTGCCACATCTGCACCAAGCGTCGTGGGGAAAGAACACTGACCCAGGAACAGAAACACGGGCTACGGCTCCAGTTCTTTTTTAGCCACTCACTAGCCAACACTGTGGACATTTAATCTTTGTGACTTAATTGAGCCTTAGTGTCGTCGTCTGAAAAGCAATGACTATTTCCTGGCACTCCTACTGCTCAGCGATCATGAGAACCAAACGATAGGGTATGTACATCCCGAGTCATGAAAAAGTGTAAAATGATGTCCTAACATCATACTCTTCCTGATGCCAGTGCAGCAGGAAATCATCTGCGTGGTGCTTGGCAGACGTCCGCCCCCCTGTAAGTTTCAGTGACCAGTTCCTTCAGAATACACACCACTATCAGCACCAATTTACTGTTTTTCCACTGCTTGTTATAATTACATAATTTTATAGAAAGAGTGAAAAAGACCCCAGTCTTTCTAACAATTATGGAATCAAAGTTTCTAGAGCTATAAAAGATGTGAAATACTAGCTTTCTCTGGTTCCCCACCCGGAATATAATCCTAACGCAGCAGAAAAGTCAGATTATGCTGTTGCCATCCTAGGGAGAGTTAGGGACTTAATCCCATGAGAAAAACACACGAGGTCCCAGCACTTCACTTATTCTGTAAAGCTTCCATCTTTACTTGGAAAAGGCTTCCTGAATGGAGCACAAGAGTTATGTAGGACAAACCTGAATAGAGAAAATAGAAGTTCTTAAAGTTTCTCATTTCACTTACCACCCTCCTCACCCTTCACCCCCAAATCCAGACTGAGACACAAAGGAAATAAGGAAATGACTGGCCTGATACCTGCTCTCCATACATCCAATTCATCCCCCAGCCTCACGAGCGCTGCGGCACAGGGAAACAAGGAGGTCCACACAGAGAGTCCGGTGAACACCTAAGAGCCAAGAACCACAAATTGTTAACTGGAAAGAACCTCCAGGACCATCTAGTCCTCACTGATGAGGTCACTCGGACGCAGTAACTACACCCAATGATGGCAAATCAGTTGCAAATATGTTCATCCGAGAAAGAAAGCAACTCCTGATTCCATCTTACCCTCCTGCTAACTGGTATACTTAGGACAAACATTTAATCTCTTGGGCTAGTTTGTTCTGTAATATAGCAGCAAATAACACACGTTAATCAAACCACAACACAAGGATCCCTAGTTGTGTACACAGCCTGTCTCCAGGGGGTCTTAGCAATAACGGAAAGGATGTGAAGGCTCTATTGTTTAAAGCTATCAGCAGTTCTGAGAGCGGCTTCCAGGCCCACCCACTGGGCCCATGGATGAGCTTCAGGTGGCCCATGGACTCTCTCAAATTATAACCAGAACACAGAGGTGCATGTAGAAATTTTCCAGGCCAGACTTCTGTATTTCACCAAAGATTACAAATCCCCCAAAGACTAAGAACTTCTGCTGCAAAGTAACCCACATGCCAAAGATAAAGCTTCCGTGGATGTGCTCTAAACGGTACCATTCTTCCAATAACCTGAGTTGGAACCTCAGACATTTTCACTCTCTTCATTTTCTCTAACATCAGTTCTGTCTAATCTACTTCCTCCTTTCCTTTCCTATAATTAAGGCCACAGCTCAGCCCCTCACTACGTATGGCCACAGCAATCATGAGGGCTCTGCCTCCCAGTTCTGCCTACTTCAATCCACACTATTCCAATCGCTCCATTCCCAACTCAAAGTTGGCTATAAATCCTCTCCGTCTACCAAATCCCATGCCATTAGCCTGTGCTATAAACAATCACAAACTGGTCCATTTTTACTTCTAGCTTTATCACACTTGCTACTGGTACAAATACTTGATGTTCCACCCAAACATTCACTTGCGTCTTCCCAAAAGTACCAACTCTGTGCTCCCTGGCCCCTCTCTCCACTTGGATGACCTTTCCCAGCCTGACAAGATTCTCAGCCATCCTCAAAACGAAGATTCCAGAAGCCAGGAAACTCCCGCGTCCCGAATGAGATGTGAGCTCTACCCCCTGCGAACGCGAAGTCTGCAGGTCCCGGAACTGTCCGTTAAAGGACAGATGACGCACATGTGTACAGTCCTACCCACCTACCTGGCCGTGAAGGGACGCACGGTCACCACCCTTTACCCAAACACCCCACACAGTCGTGCAGCAGGTGCTCAATAACTGTGCAAAGCAGTAAAAGAAATTTCAGACTTTGGGGGGGGCGGTGAACGGCAAAGATGATGCTCTTCGAAGGTAGAGACTTGACCTGTGACACCCTCTGTCACACCAGGCTTCCAAACAGAGCCCTTGCCTTCTGCTTTCCAAGCCCAGGAAGAAGTCTGAAAACGTCAGCGAGCTCCGCCTGAACGGACCAGACCGTACTCACACTGCTCAGCCCAGCGGCTCCCGGCACTTGGACAGAGTTTTGAATTTGAAAAACAATTAACTATTTATGAAACGCGATCCTTTCCAGCGATAGACAATTTACTACTTTATGGCTAAAAGCAGGTCACACCCACAACAGAGCGCCTTTCCCTTGGGCCCGGGGCGACAGGCAGGGGTTCCCGCCGTGCGCCCCGGGCGCCCACACCACCTGCTCGCGGGGCTCCGGTGGGACCCGAGGGGAGCGCTGCGGGCCTTCCCTCCCGCACCGCCGCCGGCAGCGGGGAAGCACGAACTCCGATCGCCTCGCGGGCGCCGGGGAGACGCAGAACTTATCCGGCAGGAAGCGGGCGCCGGTCAAGCCCGGAGGGCAGGGGTGTCGGCCACTCGCGGTCCGCGCGGCCGTCCCGGGCGAGGGCAGGTCCGCTCCCTGCCTCGGGGCACACGCTCCCGGGCACCGGGCACAGCGGACCCTCCGCGGCGCAGAGCGACGGCCCGACCCCAAGACTAACGACTCGGACGGAAAGGACAGACGGCAGGA